TCTGGGAAGGCGGAAAAACAAAAGAGCAAATCTCAAATACCCCTCCTTTGGTTTATACGCTGTAAACAGGAACTATTTATTTTTCAAACGTTGACATGAAGGCCTATCTTCGTTCAAGGACAGTTGCACAAACTGATCTAATTGTGTGTTTCTGTGCGTGTGCGTGCAAGCGAGTGTGTAACTGTGCGTGCATGTGTGTGCGTGCATGTTTGTATGTGTGTTTGTGTGTGTATGTGTGTGTGTGTATGTGTGTGTGTTTAACACTTTGCTTCCTATCGATGACCAAAATAGGAACAGATGTCAGGAAGCAAAATCGTGAACAGTTGCAATTCATAGTTTTCGAAAATTTCGACAATTTATGCCTTTTTAGTAAACAACATCTTTCACATGCCTGCAAGTAATCTTCCAATGCTTCACTTAACAAAAATATTTTAAATATCGTGCCAAGTATAGTTAGCTCAGATCTTCAAGTATCTTTAAACTTCTTTATTTCTTTCCAGAGGCCCCCTTTGGAACAGTGCCTTTTGTGGAGGTAGATGGGGAAGTCTATTCACAGTCAATAGCTATTGCTAACTATTTTGCCAAGGAGTTTGGTAAGTGAATTTTTTTTCCCTTGCCCATTTATGAGATTGACGCCATCTGATTTGTAGAAGAAAGTGCATATGATTGTGTCCAATAGTGTATTACATGCATACTTAGTATATCAGTTAACTGTAATAGCGGATAGTGATTCCAGGATTACAGATGTAAGTTATTGATCTGAGAGAGGTGATGATTTTAGAATTAGTAGTGGTGATGAGTGATGATGAGGGATTGCGTTTAAGTAATGTTAGCGTTAGTCCTATTTTCCTCTGTTCCAATGAGTCACGAGGGACGTGGGCACTCGCTATCCTGTTCCCTACTGGGACCATCTTTACGGTCACCATGAAGTTCCGAAATGGTGGGCTCAGTCTCTGCTAAGGTGACATCGTTAGTGTTAGCCTATTCTATCGGGCTAGGACAAGTGTAGAGAGGAGCTAAGTGGGAAGACAGTAGGTAAGTGAATTATAAGTTTGCACAAAAAAAAGACACTTTTGGCGGCCAGAGCAATAACTTCACTTTGGTTTTATGGACGTATTGTAACGTTACTCATAACGTTTAAATGCAGTAGTGACTCCTGTTTGTTTGTCTTTCTAAAAGCTAAGATGTTGTTTTGAACACAACTGCTGCTGCTTCTATTTCTGTGGATGATGATGATGATGATGATGATGCTGATGGTGATGATGATGATTTTTTTTTCCTTAATGGACCTGACGGACTTCACGAAGAAATCTTCGAGCGAGAGCGAGGATCTTTTTCGGCTCCATTGTCAATATGCTTAGCGGCACCTCCACTCGTCCAAATAACACCATTCGAATTGCCATTGTTTGATGATGATGATGATGATGATGATGATGATGATGATGATGATGATGATGATGATGATGATGATGATGATGATGATGATGATGATGATGATGATGA